TTGCGGAGGTCATCGCACCACCTAGCCAGGGGACGTCCCACGTTACGTCTTCCGCTGCGCGGTCTCCACTCGAAGTGTGATGAAGTGTGAAGAAGTGGATGAGGAGAGCCGCAGACTGGGCTCAGTGGTGTGGATTGGGAGAGGCCTATGTCCAGCAGTGGACGACTGTGAGCTGTTGATGATGATGACGATGATGAAAGCTCTTCTTTTTTTTATCTGCCTATTCTAGTAACCTCATGGGGTTACAGTAGCTTCAGCGGGCGAGTTTTTTTTATATGATTGAAAGATTACTGGTGGCCCGGAGGCCTTTCCAATTTCACCAGGACAGGTGAGCGAGCAAAAGGCTCAGCCAGGAGGGGTGGGATTTGCTAACAGCTGCCCGAGCGCCTCCAAAGGAGACATAACAACTCAAGAGCAACTGCTTCGCGAATGAAACCGGGCGAGTAGGTGAGCTCACGAGGCTCAGTCAGGCGAATATGCTAAATTTTTTTTAATCGCTTATGTTGGTGGACGAACTCACAGCCCACCTGGTGTTAAGTGGTTACTGGAGCCCATAGACAACTACAACGCAAATGTCGCCACCCACCTTGAGACATGAGTTCTAAGGTTTCGGTATAGTTACAACGGCTGCCCCACCCTTCAAACCGAAACGCATTACTGCTTCACGGCAGAAATAGGGAGGGCGGTGGTACCTACCCGCGCGGACTCACAAGAGGTCTACCACAAGTAATAGCCATAACGTAAAATCCGTTATACCGTCAATTAAAATCATTAGTAACTGTTATCTTTAATAAAAATAACAGGCAATTAGTCACCGACTGTTTAGCAATAACAAACACAGCGCATTCGTTACGGAGCGATCAGGGCAGTGAGCTAAAATGTTACAATCGGCAATTCTGGTGAGTTAAATCGATACAAATAAAATAAATCAATAAAAAGCTAATGCCCTAGTATTGTGGTTGGGACTATTTCATTTATATGAAGATTAGCTTTTGCCCGCGACTTCGTCCACGTGGAATAATTCACAAATAATGCTTTATTTTAGAACAAATTTGGTTAGCATAAAAAACGTTATAGTGAGCCAACCTTAACATATAGGTATACTAGGCTGCACTAAAAGTATCGGGAATGGAATATTTCCACTGTTCCTGTCATATTAAAATCTTTTTAATTGAAAACTCCTTGGTTTTAAAAATCGAATACCATTTATTTATTTAGAAAAAGATTCTCGGTCTTGTCACGAGGTTTTGTCAAACTTGTTTAGTCGTTGAGAAAATGGAATTGACTCGAGAAAATTCAAGAGCGATGATTTATGACTTTCGAAGTGGTTTAACACAAAAACAGTGTGTTGACCGGATGATTTCTGCATTTGGTGATGAAGCCCCATCCAAAACCACAATTTATCGCTGGTTTGCTGAGTTTCAACGTGAACGTGTCAAGCTCAGTGATGATCCCCGTCAAGGTCGTCCAAAAACTGCAGTCACCCAAGAAAACGTTGATGCTGTGCGTAAGCTGATTGAGGAAGATCGACATGTGACATACCGCGAAATTCAGGCAACTTTTGACATTGGCATGAGTCAAATACAAATAATCTTGCATGAACATTTAGATGTAAAAAAGTTGTTTTCCCGATGGATACCGCATTCGCTCTGTGAAGAGCAAAAAGCGGCTCGCGTTACTTGGTGCGTCAGAACTCTCGAAAGATTCAAGGCAGGATCCTTAAATGCTGTATACAACATTGTATCAGATGACGAATCCTGGATATACGCGTACGAACCCGAAACAAAAAACCAGTCACGAGTTTGGGTGTTCGAAAATGAGTTAAAGGATTGGCTTTAACTCATTTTCGAACACCTAAATCTAATCTAAATCATTAAACAATTAATTCGCACACACAATAACATATACCAATAACATCTGTCAAATGGGACTTCGTAATTAGAATAGAGTATAGGGGGTTGTGATTCACTGCGAATCATATTCCCTGGTACCTAAGTTGTCGTCGTGGGGTCGTCGTACCCCCTTGCGGGGGCACGGAGCGGGCCTCGGGGAAACCCCTCTGCCCGGGCATTTAACTCCCCGCCTATCGAGGCAGGGGTGGTGCGCTGCAGGTTGTCATCTTCGTGTATTCAAATCAAATGAAATAAAAAAAAAATTCAAAACAAATGAAAGTACATACTTGTTGAACGTCAAAAGAACTACCGCCAATTCACAAAAACTAGCCTCCGTCTTGAGAAGAACTGGCAAATAACTCAACAGGCATGTCTTTTTTATATTAGATTTTTTTTAATATTCATTTTTACAATGAGTATGTACAACGTAACAATTATTGCAATATTGAAATGGCCGGAGCGAGCAACTCATTCCCACTTTGTGCAGTCATCTAGATAATCATTGACTTTATAGTAAGCTTTATTGCAGAGATGTTCTTTAATAGTTTTCTTAAACCTATATTATTTTAATGATTATTATCAATGACTAGCTGGCCCGGCAGACTTCATAGTACCTCAATCGATAAATAAAAGACCTAAGATTTTGTATAAAATAAACTTGAAACAAACAAAAGGAATCCGTCCGACGGGGGACACATTAAAGGAGAAACAAAATTGTTATTTTTATTTAATTCTGAGCATTTTCATATTTATCTACCTTTTAAACCTTTTCTGGACTTCGACAAATAATTCAAGACCAAAATCAGCCAAATCGGTCCAGCCGTTCTCGAGTTTTAGCGAGACTAACGAACAGCAATTCATTTTTATATATATAGATAGATGACGTTAAAACTGTGTCATCCTCACTTTTTCCTACCTATCTGCTAATAGTTTCAAAGAACTATTATTACCTTCACTGTGACTGGTTGTTGGGGCAGCTCAGTGGGTGAGCCCTGTGAGGTGTGTTAATACCGATGCTTTTTTTTTTGTGTGCCTTGCAGGCAAAAGGCCCACCTGATGGTGGGTGGTAACTGTCGCCCATGGATTTTTTTTCCATTGCTTAAATGGGTGGACGAGCTCACAGCCCACCTGATGCTAAGTGGTTACTGGAGTCCATAGACATCTACAACGTAAATGCGCCACCCACCTTGAGATATAAGTTCTAAGACCTTACAACGGCTGCCCCACCCTTCAAACCGAAACGCATTACTTGCTTCAAACAAAAAAAAACACAATTCGTGCCCGAAGGAAGAAGGAGGTTCGACTCCCGGTCCAGAAAAAAAACCCCACACTGTTACTGATGGTAGGACGCCTTGTGAGTCCGCACGGGTAGGTACCACCGCCCTGACTTTTTCTGCCGTGAGCAGTGACGCGTTTCGGTTTGAACGATAGGGCAGCCGTTCTACTGTAAAAACGGAGACCTTAGAACTCATGCCTCTACGTGGGTGACGATATTTACGTTGTAGAAGCTTATGGGCTCTGGTAAAACCAGGTGGACCATGAGCTCTTCCACCCATATAAGAAGTAAAAAAAGAGAATCTAAAAGCACCGCGAGTCGATCCGGAGGAGTTGACAAGACATATAATGGGCGATAGCGGTTTTGCGTTGCTTTAGATATTCTAAAATGTGTTTGACTGTGACGTGCAACCTAACCCATACATCAGCTGAGTTTCTCGCTGGATCTTCTCAGCGGGTCGCGATTCCGATCCGGTAGTAGATTCATTCGCGTTGGTAGGTCTCCTTCGGAGGCGCTAGAGCAGCTGTTAGCAAATCCCGCCCCTCCTGGCTGAGCATTTGCTCGCCCACCTGTCCTGGTAAAACTGGAAAGGTCGTCGGGCCATCATTAATCCTTCAATCATAAAAAAAGAATATAAGAAACCATGTTTTATGCTGATGTTTTTGTGTGCACCGCAATCCTAATCAGATATTTGCACTGTAACCTCCTGAGAGAAAGCAATGAACTATTTTTCGTCTCATTCAATCGAAAGGGGATCGGGAGGATCCGAAATGCGAAATAGCTTTTGTCGTTGTAGGCCGTTCGTTGTCCCCTCGTCAGGGTCGCGGATGTAATTTGCAATTTCCATCGAAGACGTGCGTTTTCTGCATTCCTATTTGCTGCATTTCTATTTCTCGTGAAATAGAGAAAACGCAAACTGAAATCTGTCTATATATATATAAAAATGAATTACTGTTCGTTAGTCTCGCTAAAACTCGAGAACGGCTGGACCGATTTGGCTAATTTTGGTCTTGAATTATTTGTCAAAGTCCAGAGAAGGTTTAAAAGGTAGATAAATATAAAAATGCTCAGAATTAAATAAAAATAACAATTTTGTTTCTCCTTTGATGTGTCCCCCGTCGGACGGATTCCTTTTGTTTGTTTTAAGTTTATTTTATACAAAAGCTTAGGTATTTTATTTATCAATTGAGGCAATACGAAGTCTGCCGGGTCAGCTAGTAAAGAATAAATATAGTTTAAAAAACAAAAAATCCACGTCTAAATAACAGCCAACCGAACTAATCTTGTTAATATGCCCGTCAAGATAGGAGCCTCCGTTTCACCTCGAAGGCACCGTCAGCGAGTGTTCTTGGGATGAGCAGCACGTCTGACTGCAGTGTTGACCGCGGTAGCTTCCTTAGCGGGCTCTGATCTCAGTACCGGGGAGCCATTTAGTGGGTAGGGCCTTCAATACCATCCTTGGGTCACTGCCAATATCTGTGGACAGTCCAGTCCCATATAAACTGCGCGCCCTATAGGAGCAGGGATCTCCTAGGAGGATCGGCCCATGACCCAAAAAATATATATATTCGAGGGAAATTACAAAACTATTGTATCGGCCATCGGTTCTCGACGCGCGTTCGAATTGTCAAGTCAATAGAACGTCTTCAAGTCGGTAAAAAAAAACATTCAACAATTTCATCACATAGATATATAGATAGGACGGGTTTATGCAGGCGTATTAATATAAAAAATAAATAGCATTTAATTTAAAAAACATATAAAAACAAACAACATTTAATTTTGTTACTTATTAATTTTGCAGGTGGTCACCTTAACGACGTTAGTGGGGTCGGATCCGTCCCCTGGATTAGTCTTTGATTACCCAAACGTGAGTAATGTTTTAAAATATATTTTTTGATATAAGTAATATACTTTATTTATTATAAAAAAAAGAACACAATATTCCTAACCTAAAAGTACATGTTATTATCCGCAACATGCTTCGTCAGATTACAGAAATAATAAATATAAATATAATTGTCATGAACACATTTTTTGGAACGAAGTTCCTTACGGCAGGCTTGGAGCGGATAGGGGTTTTGCTGCGCGACCGAACTGAAAAAATGTGATAGTAAAACCGTAAGAAAAAATCCGTGGAAAAAAGTGCGTGGAAAAAAGTGCGTGGAAAAATCCGTGGAAAAAAGTGCGTGGAATAAAACCGTTAAATGAGACGTGCGCAGTCGTATACACAAGCGAGTAGTGTATAATACCTTTCTCTTTCTCCCTCTTTCTTTTCGTTCTCTCATCCCTTCTCTCTCTATTTTGTAATTATTTCTATTTCTATGTAATTTTATGTTGTCAAACAAAAATAAAGAGACATATTTTGTTATTTTAATTGATAATTTGAATTACGATTTTATTTTTATTTTACGTAATTTATTATTTNTTTTATGTTGTCAAACAAAAATAAAGAGACATATTTTGTTATTTTAATTGATAATTTGAATTACGATTTTATTTTTATTTTACGTAATTTATTATTTCCTAAAATACTGAATTTCCTAAATACTTTCCTGTACTTAAATAAAAACTAATCAGCAAAATTTAAGAGAAAAATCAAGAAAACCTACATAAAATTGAGCACGTTTTTTTTTGCAAATTGTATCGATTCTACATTAGCCGAAGGAACTTGGTTCCTATCTGGTGTTCCACGACACCACATTTTAATTTTTTTTTTAAAGTTCGTTCGTAAACTTTCGAACACTTTTTTTTTTAATATTCATTTAGAAACGGAACGAAGCGATATGGATGAATGAGAGAGCATGACTGAGTGAGAGAGATAGGAGATGTCGTGTTAGGAAATAAGAAAGGCGACAAAATATGTTTTTTTTATTGCCCTTGTAGGCAGACGTGCATACGGCCCACCTGATGGTGAGTGGTTACTGTCGCCCATGGACTTCAGCAATGCCAGGGGCAGAGCCAAGCCGCTGCCTACCGCTTAATACTCTCCACAAGCCTCGTTTGAAGAAGCACATGTCATAGCGCTCGGGAAACACCGTGGAGGGGAGCTCATTCCATAGCCGGATGGTACGTCGCAAAAAAGATCTCTGGAAACGCACTGTGGAATACCGCAGTGGCTCCAGGTAGTATGGATGAACTCTACTCCGGGCGGTGCGATGGTAAAAACGAGATGCCGGTATCATCTCGAACAATTCCTCAGAGCATTCCCCATGGAACATACGGTACAAAATACAGAGGGAACCGAAGTCCCTCCGCAGACCCAGAGGTACCAAATGATCCGTGAGAAAAAAAACGAGACACCGAGTTTTATTTCATAAGCAACAGGAGAGTAGTTTCCGGTAATCTATATATTAATACGTGAAGCAAAAACTTTGTATCCCTTTTTACGAAAATTGCGTGGACGGAGGAGTATGAAATTTTCCACACTTATAGAGAATATAGAGAAGAAGTGCACAATGCTAATATCTTTTTAAAATTATACATAAAAAATACATTAAATCAATAAAGAAAACATTACACACACTACATACCAAGTATTTGACGCACACACGCATGCATATTATTTATTGTCAAACTTTTGTTCCTGACTTCTGTTGTCAAATTGAAATTAAATATTGTTTGTATTTGTTAATATTTTTTTATGTCTTGGCGAAATTTGTGTTTATAGAAGTATAAAATACAATCATAATAGTGTACAAACTTACAATTCGAATTAACTATAGTCGAATTTCGACTACTGCGGGATCACTAGTTTCATATTTAAATCACCAAAGTTTGTTGTGCTGATCTACCAACAAACGGCGGTCTTATTGTCAAATGTTCCTCAGAATTACCAAGAAGCAGAGACCGAGTAAATATTGCCTGGGAAATATATATATATATATTTTAAATACTGACCTTTAGTTACATAATAAATGAAGTACATATTCAATTTTGTAAATGTAACAATTGGATATATTTTTTTTTGTTACACGATCGTTTTTAATAAAAAAACTTTCTTGTTTTAAAATTGTAATGTACGTTTTAGAAGATTTTTAAGTTATAACTGCAAATATCAAATTAGTACAATAAAAATAATCGTTTAGTAAATATACATAATTTGGTTTGCATCTAAATTTTCAATACGTAGGTACACGACAGATCTTTGCAAAATACATACCTTTTAGATCGATGCCCTCGGGAGCTTATTTGATCCGGTGCGACTGTCGGCCATTTTGCTTTTTCTGCCATGTCTATTTTTCGTTCCAAGACTAAACTTAATTTCTGTACATTTTTTTAAAATACTTTTTTTTAGTACGGCAATCAAGTCTGTCGATACTATTTCTATATACCAATTTCGAGTTTTATAAAAATCTTTAATTATTATATTAATGTAATGATATCAAATCCCTAGTGTCCACCACTCATATAAATATTAGCCTATCCATTAAGTACATGTATTTTCTACATGAATACCATGTTTCAAGTCAATCGGATGCATGGTTCAGTAGTTATAACGGAACATCCGTAAAAACCACTGTAGATTTATATATTAGTATAGATTAAACAGTAAGCAGTATTAATAAACTATATAAAACTCAACTCTCTTTTTACTGAATAACCGACTTCACTCCATGACCAAATGAAACAGAAAATATCCTTTTAAAAAACTAAAGATTCTTAAATAATAAAGGTTTTTCTTTAGACATATAAATACGAAACATTTAAATCCCTGAATATCTCTATTTAAATTTATATTTTAAACAATATCATTATAATATAAGTAATTTATATTATCTGTACTTATAGCCGATACCACATCCCTAGAATTATCGAGAATATTCCACACATTTCGAGTATTGTGTTTCCGTTGTCTGTCAATAGATGGCGTTGTACTTCTCGAGCGTTCTAGGTGCTACTAGATCCTTCGATATTCGTTCGACTACGCGACAATAGATGGCGTTACTCTTACTATCGTAACATTATATTAACACTAAATTAACGAAAGAAAAAAATTCACGCATCTTCATATTTCACGTACCTTCCAAAAAGTATTTTTTAAATTACTTTTATTAATAAATACGTAGAAAAAAGTTTGAATTTATGATAAACTACAATGGCTTTTTTTCAGGTCAAAGATGAAATCTACGAGCAGCCAGTCAATTTGATGAATCCCAAAAAGGTTCCGCACGCTAAGGTAGGTTCATAATATGTGATTCTTTGAAGTGATAGCTTCATATGTGAGGGTAAACCGCTTCATTACGTAACGCGTTACGGCGCGAATTTTTATTTATTCCGCACCCCAGCGCTTAACAGTACATTAGTACTTTCTTAAGCCTTTAACCCACCTGTCTTCATAGATTAGGTATAATTACAGCCGGACCGGTTTTTGATATTGGCCTGAGACGACCTTTTCTATATTTATCCTGTACCTGTTCGCTGGTAACCTAAGGAGTTATTCTAGCTACGCGCGGACGGGTATATGAGTTCACAGGCTTAATTTGAAGTATTTGCTAACACTAGTCCTGACAAGGCCAGTGCTTCGCTGAATCTATCACTGGATCAGAATCGCGACTCACTAAGGATCCCATAGACAGTGGGTCGTGTTTCCGATCCGGTGGTAGATTCTGCGAAGCACGGCTCTTGCTAGGGTCAGTGTTAGCAACACTTCCAGTTTGAGCCCCCAAAAGCTCACCTATACGCTAGGGTAACGCTAATATAGGCTCTGACAATAGAATCATGATAGTGTACAAACTTATAATTTCAATTAATTATAGTCGAACTTCGACTATAATCAATTGCTTCCTTTCGACGTGTAAAAAGGATAAGCAAACAAACAAATACTGTTACTTTTATGAAGTATAGTTATATTATTTGACGAAAATTTAATGTAAATATTAGGAGTGTTCAATAAAAAATGAGTATGACGCGTTTATCTTTTATTAACTTTATTTTATTCTCTAGTACCCATAGCACAGGGAATCTTAATTTGAGGCCGGATGACCGTGCGTGATTTGTTCCTATGTATATACCTAATGTTATTGTTATAACAATATTATTTAATTCCCACAGGACGATCCCTTGGAAGCGACCAAAGCTAACGACGAGACGTGGCCAACATTCGACTTCTCCAAATTCGAGTCGTATCTCAACAACGACGGCGACCAAGGCAGCAACAGAATAAAACGCAAAGCTAAGGTATGTAGTCTGTCGATTACATTACTACATACATTACATAAAATTGACAATAATGCCACATGTGACTAATGGTTCAAGAAGGCGGCACATTGTGAAGTCTATGGTCTGGCCGTTAGCTGACTGACAGACAAAATAATTGACACGACATGACAGTTAACATTCCCGCCAAAAACTACAATACTTCAGTGAACTACAAGTATTTTGTTCTTCCTTATTTTTTGGCTCCGGCACGGTTTGCGCATTAGCTAACAGCAAATAATAAGATACTTACAATTCGTCGTTTTAATTATTTACCGTTTATTAATAATAAAAAAACGAAGGTAACCCAAATTAATCAACTGAGATGAAATGATACGACATGATATGGGATGAAATATTTATCTCTTTTTTAGTGGATTGTTTGGAGGATCCCAAGAAGTTACCTCCAGCGGCTTTGTTTCATTTTGCGAGAAAATACATATTAAATTATTTATACAGATTGCAACCTTAACACGGGAAAATGTGACATTATAATGAAGGACCAATAAATAATTTTGTCTGTGGACAATACCCTCTATATGTTTGAACTCTACTTGACCTCATTATTACGATTAGATTATTACTGTAATTAACATAATTATGTTTGTTTAGATATATTAGAAATTAAATACATAAGGTCATATTTCCAAGAATATTTTTATATCTAACATGCCTAATTAGTGATGCATAATTTAAGCGATCATTTTTTTCTTTTTTCCTAATGATGTCGATGTAACTTTACAGTTTAGAGTTTAAAATAAAAAAAATATAGGTCGTTTTATAATATGTTCAATATGTTCTTATGATGAGATGAGTAATTAAAAGTGACCGTTTCCACTTCACAAAGACGAAACTATTAGGTACCTATAAATTACTACAAGTTTGAACGAAGCATATTTAAGATACATAGAGCCAAACATCTACATAGATATCATCATAGATTATACACTTAATATTTGAGGATGTCATGTCATTTATTTCAAATTTCGAGAACCGAAATATATTTTTACTCTGCTCCCTGTAATGTGTGCGTTTTTTTTTATGGGCCAGAAGCCGACCTCCTTCCTTCGTGCGCGAATTAGTGACGTGCCGAGTATATATTTTTTTTGCGAATACGCAAACGATTGCAAGATTTCATTTAGGTAATCTAAATCCAACCTCCAACTATCGCATCCTTCACCGAAGCAGAATCCAACCCTAATTGTAACCAAAAGAGGGCTTTCCTAGAAGTAATTTGTTCTACGTAGCCTCTACGTTTGGAATTACCTTCCCCATCCCAATAGGAGCGCTATGAGATTTCTCCTTCGAATTGCAGCTTGAAAACAGTTTATCCCAACATTGTGCTTTGCGCCTAATAATAGTGATAATCTGTGTCTGGCTTAATCGAATAAAAACGTTGATATTCAACCGTTTAGATACTGGTATCATTTTTTTAGCCACCTAACTGTCAGCGGCTTCGAGGGACCTATTCTGGCTTCGACTTGATTCAGAGTCGCGACCCATTGAGAAAATCTGGCGAGAAACTCAGTGGGCGTGTCTTTGAAAATGTCGCTGACGTTAATTATAAGACAGTCGTAATTTAAAGGTTTAATTCGATTCAAACGTTGTCGTGGCGTGCAACGTCTTTGACAGGACATAAGACCTATAATGACTAAACATAGACACAGACTAAGACAGAGACTTAACAAGAATTCGAAAAGAAAAGGAACGAGGGCGTACGTGACCAGCAGCGACGCTGTACCTTTTTTGACGACCTTAAAGAAAGACACAAAAAGACGAAAAAGAACGAATTGACCGTTCTCATATAAGACGACAATAGAACAAAACGACCGTTCAACTGATCCTTCGACCGTTCAAGTGGTAATCGACCGTATATGAGTCAAGAATTTCGTCTGGGAACAACTTCTTGGTCTCGGTATCCGTGCTAGTTTATCCAAAAACAATTTAGCCTTACTGAGTGAAACTTGAACTCATGTTTTTTAAATGAAAATACAAAAAATAAATAATAAATAAACGTGTCGCATTCGGGGCCTGCCGCGGTAAAGCTATTGCATAGCATTTTTTATCAAGTTATGCAATTATAATTAGACAATAATAATTTAATATTAAAATAATAATAAAATAAGACCACGCTATATTTATAAACATTAACAAAAGCCAAATATTAACTGTCCCCTTCACACTCATAAGCTAGACCGCGTGAGAGAGAGATGGGCAGACTTTTCATGATGCGCATGCAGTGCGACGTCACGCCGCGCGCTTATTCACAAACACGTCACAAGCGCAACGTGTGAATGTGTTGAAGGCGAGCTACTTGGTAGGCGAAGTGGAGGGTGTTAGGTTTTATTGTTGTTACGGAATTTCTTGATTCGGTCGCCGCGTTCAAAGCCCGCAATAAAAGCTATGCAGTAGCTTAATTTATTTTAACTAACACAAAACGTATGCTTTTGAAAAGAGCTAGGGAAGCTTATACAAGAAGAAAAAATGAATGCGTAACGTTAATTAGTTACGTCAAACATTGTGAAATTTCGCAAAATCAAAACCTACACGAGCAAATCCGTGATTTATGTAAAACTTTGAAGCTCAAATAGAACTTATAAACGAATTGAAACGAGGAGAGCGCCATCTCGAACATAAAACTAGAATCATTTATAAACATGTACTTAGAGACGGGAGAACGTCGACACACACGTAACGAAACGAAAGATCGCGTAAATGATACAATCGCAGAATCGACGAGACTGACGAACGTTTCTTTCTAACGCAGAACACCCGGCGTTTCGACACTGTCAGCGGCCCGAAGCTCCGCGAGCGACCCCACCACTATCTCTACCCGGAACCGGTCAAAGACAGGATCCTCGAGTTCACGACCACAACAAAGAAGCCGGGTATCCTGCCGGACCAGATGAATCCAGGCGTCATATTCAGGGTGCGAATGTCCGACGCCATTTTGCGTATCAAACAGCGAATGTACGAGGACCCGGAGAGGCATATAGAAGCGGACATCATATACACGAACCTGATAAAGAAGATCGTCATGGACGAGATTACCAAGTTCCACAATCTACTGCTCATGTACAAAACCGACAGGAGTATCAAGGAGCATTTAGGAGAGTGTGGCGGCAGGATTTACAAATTCATAAGCTACATGACGATCAAAGTTCATATCTATTGCCTCTTCGATGCTCTGTGGATAGACGGCAACCCTTACGTGATCGGAGATGAGTATACCGTAACGCCGGTCGAGGTACCTCCGATGCTGCAATGCGACGCGGCTGAATGTAACTCTGTCGTTTTCGTGGATTCGATCACTGAACCTAGAGACCTTGAGGAGTAACCAATAAACGGATTAAGGGGTTTTTGTTGTTGTTTTTTTTGGGGTTGCCAAATTCTTGGTGGTCTTAAGGTACTGTTATGCTCATTTCAAGCATGAAAGCATGCTTCTATTGAGCAGTTGCTACTTAGTAACGTGTGTGTCGGAATGTTGCTCAAAAGTAGCATGCTCATTTCGAGTTTGCTTAAATATCAACAGGCGTGCGATTTTTGCGGCACGGGTGGAAGGGGGCGTGCCTTACGCGCGTCTAAACAGGTTTGGTTATTGAACATGCTATATAGTATCGCTCAGTCGTTTGCAACAGGTACAATGCAAATACATAAATAAAATACATAAATAAATAGCATACTTAAAACTAGCATGCCTATTGCTAGCAAATGTAAAGTGTTCATAGGCATGCTCGTATTGAGCATACTCAATAGCACGCTTTTTAGCATGCTATTTTAGAGCATGTGTAATACTACCTTTACCCTTATAGGATAAATCGTGGGGTCGACGCAGCATGTTATTTTATCTGCTGCATAGTGATTTAGGACGTCAACTCTATTCGGGTGATATCTCCGGTGGTACATCCATTGCGACGTACCCTAGGGAGGGACTATGTCTGTTTCTTCTTTTAGTAGTAATGCGTTTCGGTTTGAAGGGTGGGGTAGCCGTTGTAACTATACTTGAGACCTTAGAACTTATATCTCAAGGTGGGTGGCGCATTTGCGTTGTGGATGTCTATGGACTCCAGTAACCACTTAACACAAGGTGGGCTGTGAGCTCGTCCACCCATACAACAATAAAAAAAAAAAAGTTACTGTCGACTAAAGACGCTCCTAGTGGTAGAAATACAATAGATCCCCTTCTTAATCATCGTATGAAGAAAAGGAATTTACAGAAAGACCAGGTTTCATTCCAGAGACCGATTGTACATGGAAAAAATGTTCTCTGGAACACAACCGGCGAAATTTTTTGGGTTACCAGAAAACGAGACAACGGAATCTCTTAGAATAATTCCTCAGAACATCTGCAGGTCGATCTAAAAATTATTTAATTTCATTATCGCATTCCAGCGTCGCCGCGGCAAAAGCAGGCGTCGAATGAAGTATAATAGTACGCCAAGCGATGAGTTTGAGGTAAGGCCAAATTTATCAATCGATTTTAAAACGATAGGGTAACATCAAAGTTGTTAAGATTATTTGTAAATAGTATGGAGAGTACGGTGCACGCTCGCTGTGGTTCATACCCGATCCTGTAGACCGAATGGTAAACAGTCGACGTCGCCCAAAGTACGTCATTACGGATCCTCCAGATCCACTAACGGTGCTTTTAGGTACCTCAAGCACCGGTCACCGTCCTCGTTGAACCCTTCGCTTGTGACGAAGGGCTCGACAAGTGAATTAACCCATAGACATAGCCCACTGAGTTTCTCGGAATTCTCGGTGCTTCTCAGAATCTACCACCGGATCGGAAACGCGACCCACTGAGAAGATCCGGCGAGAAACTCAGTGGGCTGTCTCTGTGGACTAATTTATTTCTGCGAGTATTGTGAAGCGGCCGCTACGTAAGCATAGACCTAGTATTATTTAACTTGTCCGCCCTCTTCACTTCTCAGTCAGGAAACGCAACCACTTCGAGGAACCCGAAGGCTCGCAGATCCCACGACGACGACAGCAGTATGCGGCAGAGCAAAAATAAAAAGATAAAAAATAAAAAACACCGGCCCACATATGAAACGTACGATCCGCCCGTCAAGGTAACGTTTAGATAATAAATACAATGAATTAATAATAATTAGTAACCTTAGGACCTTGTTTTAAGGACGACTTTCTTAAAAAAAAATGTGTATGGCAATTGGATTCTCGCGGCGCCATTGTTGTCGGTATCGAGTATTTAAACATATTAATTATTATTAAATACATACTTAAATTGTTCTATTAAAATTAATGTGAAGTTAATTAATCTGAAACTTCAATCAATTCAATTGGGATGAGATTTAATGAAACGAGATTAGATGAAATAAAAAGTCAGTCAAATGGTGGTTTTTTTATTGATATTTAAAACGGAATCGTTTATTTTTTAATAGTTTGATAAGAGTTTAATTACTTCAGTACGCCACATAAGGCACCGATGACCTACGTAGTAGTCAAAGGGTTATGAATATTATTATGATAAATTAACAACAATAGAGGCTTAAAATCAATTAAGTCTCTGCCAACAATGAATTTAAATAATTTTAAAATGAATTTAATGAATGATCTCCGACTAATGATGTCCGATTTTCTCGTAGTTATTTTTTTTTTATTATGAGTTTAACTTGAGAGCATATTTTTTCTTAATTTATAATAAATTTATTTTTGGATAAGTGCTTTTTTACTGGTGGTAGGACCTCTTGTGAGTCCGCGTGGGTGGGTACCACTACCCTGCCTATTTCTGCCGTGAAGCAGCAATGCGTTTCGGTTTGAAGGGTGGGGCAGCCGTTGTAACTATACTTGAGACCTTAGAACTTATATCTCAAGGTGGGTGGCGCATTTACGTCGTAAATGTCTATGGGCTCCAGTAACCACTTAACGCCAGGTGGGCTGTGAGCTCGTCCACTCATCTAGCAAAAAAAAAAAAAAAAGTGCGTCCCTTTATTAGCTACTTTTGGTCTTTTACTAATTACTTTACTTTCTATGCTACTTCGATTATTATGAGTCAGTGAAAAGGGTCCATTTTTAAATTAAAGTCGAAATCAAAAAAAATCGAAATGGGTGCGATGTGTTCTTTAAGTTTTTTTAAATAATCTTTTTTAGTCTAGAAAAGGACAAAAGTACTCTTTCCGTCTCTTTTAAATCAGGCGCCAAATTAAAATTTTAATCATAGACCTAGACTTCAGTGATTTTAATCGAAAATCTAAAAAATGACAATTCTTTATTTAAATGTTTGACATTTACAAAGCAATAAGAATTTTGGATTAAGCAACTTCAATTCTAAAGGTGCGATGTAATGATATAGTGGAATTCGTTGTTCGGCAACTAAAGATGGATTCCGGAAAATAGCTTGATGTTTGAGAAAACTTGACTCAAATGAATTTTTGTTCACTGGTTATCAAACATGTTAAATATGTTTTAGCAATGGGAGTCCGGCTTTGTGGAGATGCCTAAGGATCTTTACCAGGCTCACCTGAGGCCGGGAGTGATCTTCAGAATCCACATGGCCGAAGCGATCTTGAAGATGCAGTACCGAAAGTAAGAACTACTTTTATTAGTTGCCTGGAAGTTATCAGCTCCGATCAGAAGGTCTTCGGTATCTTTATACCTAGTCAGGTCATAAATTCTGTCACATGTTTAATGTAAAATAATTGAAACAAGTTTATTCATTATGTAACCATTCATATACCAAAATGAACTTAACAAAAAATAGATTCTTATGACACTAAAGTTTATTCAAAATGACCTCCGTGATTTTGAATACAGGCCTTCAATCTGCGCGGCCAGTCGTTTATCGCAGCACGAACGAGGTTCATGTCAATATCGGCGGCTGCCTTAATCAAGGATGTCTTGAGTGACTCCAAATTGGGATGAGGCTTTGAGCACGCCTTTTCCTCCAAGTGTTGCCATATCTTGTAATCTAACGGATTCAAATCTGGACTGGAGGAGGGCCAGTCTTCGTGCCGGATGAAGTCGATTTCACGCGCCGCCAGCCAGTCTTGTGTGCTCTTCGCTCTATGAGCTGGCGCCGAATCTTGTTGGAATACCCAGTGCCTGTTATTGAACATGGTATGAGAAACAGGTTCCACAAGGTTCGTCAGGACTGTATTTTGATACACAACTGCATTCGTTTTTACACCTTTCTCACAAAAATGTACCTCTGTTAAGCCCCAATAAGAAACTCCCAACCATACCATGAGCGAGGATGGAAAATGACCTCGTTGGACACGCGGAATACGGTTGCTCGCTTCTTCACTACTGTGTGCGTACACCTTATCATTTTGTTTGTTGTAGCTCTCTTCTACGGTAAAAATTTTTTCATCCGAAAAAAGAATTTCCCGATATTTTTTTCCCGCGTACCGCTTCAACAAAGCGCGGCATCTCTTCAGTCTCAGGTCCATTAGACGAGCATTCAAACGATGTCCTGTTTTTCTTCGATATGCCCGAAGCCCTAAGTCTTCATTTAACACCCTTTTCACCGTGGTTCTGCTTAACCCCATCTGAAGGGCCAACAGTTTCTGCTTATGTTTGGGATTTCTTTGAATTCGCGCCTTCACAACTTTTATCACTGCTGGAGTCCTAACAGACCGAGGGCGACCACTTCTTGACCTGTCATCTACACTAGAGTCTTCATTGTATCGTTTGATGGTACGATAAACGAATCTTTTGGTTATATTCAAAATTTTCAGTATGTTAAAAATTTGAATTGGCGCGTAACCGCAACGATGCAACGCAAAACTGCAACACGGTCTTCTTTAAGCGTCCACTCCATATTTAAAAATGAGTAAAATTCTAAAAGTATATACATTTTTATTTTCATGAACAATTCGAAATTCGAATTCAATAAACTTTTTTGTGGCCAGCATTCTAAAAGAAAAGTTTTTACTGTGTGACAATACTTATGACCTGACTAGTTATATACCTACCTAATAGTTTTGTAACTTCACTATAAAATCCTACCACCGGTAACGACAGCATTGATTTTTTAAATTCGACTTGCTTTTATATCGTTTTTTGTTTATAAAGTATTAGTGATTTTATGGGCACTGAAGTCGAAACCAGTTCCATTACCCAATGCATTTTAGAACGTGTTTTCGCGCGGCAAAAATGAACAAGATGGCGGTATACATTCGCGCTGGCTTATAAAATTATGATGTCGGGTAACGGCATTACTTGTCCAATAGCGAAAACGTATCTCTCTAAAAACAATAAAACAGTTTCCCGCAAAATGTTTTTTTTTTTTTTCGAAATAAAAAGTAGCCTACTATAAATTTCGAATTTGCGTACTTTGAATATTTTTTTGTTGCCTTTGATGGTGAGTGGAAATAGGTGATCACTGAACTCAGCAATGCTAAGAGAAGTAGCACCAAGCCACTGACTAGCGTTGAAGACCCTCGGCCCTTTTTAAATACTTGATATTATAAATACTCTTTTTAATACCTCAACTATGAAAGCGACTCTGAAAGTGCCTTCACGTTGTTACGTTCACGGGCTTCGGTAGCCACTTAATATGCTCGTTCGCACGTCTGTGCAATAACTGGTGGTAGGACCTCTTGTGAGTCCACAAGGGTAGGTACCACCGTCCTGCCTATTTCTGAAGTGAAGCAGTAATGCGTTTCGGTTTGAAGGGCGGGGCAGCCGTTGTAACTATGCTGAAACCTTACAACTTATATTAAAAGGTGGGTGGCGCATTTACGTTGTAGATGTCTATGGGCTCCAGTAACCACTTAACACCAGGGGGGCTGTGAGCTCGTCTATCCATCTAAGCAATAAAAAAAAACAATCTTCAGTTACGGCGAGGACAAAGACGAATCCGTGATAGAAGCCGACGTGGAGTATCTGCGTCTGACCCGGAAGGTTATCAACGATGAGATCACCAAGTTCGAGGACCTGAAGTGGCTGATCGGCTGGTTCAACAACCGCTCCGAGCTGATACAGGAGCACATGTGCAACACGAGATACTACGCAGTCGGTGAGTCGGGTTAAGGACTTGTAAGTCCACACGGGACTACGTTCTATCTATTTCTAACGCAATTTTTTTTCCACCTAAGCTGATGGTCTTCACAGACCATCTCAGCGTAACCGTAACAAATAGGTGAACTCACGGGGCTTAAATCTGACGACTAACACTAACCCTAGCAAGAGCCGTGCTTCGCAGAATGTACCACTGGATAGGAAACGCGACCCACAGAGAAGATCCGGCGAGAAACTCACTGGGCCGTGTCTGGGCTAATTTACTCACCGAGTCCTGTACTTGGGGTACCTAAAACCACCGTTATAGCGCAGTCTTGCGCTTGCTAAGTTCTCGAGTGGGGCTGGGCATTATGGCGAAGCTTGGGGGAGGCTTGTCTCCTACGTCCAGCATAGGACGTAGGAGAGTTATCTCACCAAGATAAATGCTCTTGACCGATATATTTATATAAATAGAATCAACTGAAGAAGTCACTTCTAAGCGACTTCTCTTTAAATCCCCCACACGTTCGCTCTTTCTGTGAATACGCAAATGTCATTACACATTTAAACCTGAAGATACACTAAATTAACAAAATGAAAGAATTAAACTACCCTCCTCGCACGAATCTAACGTGCATCTCACTGGCCACTAACACACTCGCCACAAGCGCGATTGGTCTTCAATCATCCAAGCAACTAAGTCCAATTATACTAAAATGGGGACAACAATTTAATTCAATTTTGTATCCAGGAATACCGCCGACGCTGTTCACTCACCCCGAAGAGTACATGAAGCGCATGTGCCTATTCGACAATGTTTACATTGACCACATTCCGTACGTGGTGGGCGAGGACAGTTCCCTGATGGCCGCCGTGGCGCCCCCGGTCCTGCACTGCGACGCGGCTACATGCACGTCTGTGCCATTTATCGACAGGTAATACTATGGGATAAGTCCTCACTGATCCATTAGATCCAATAACTCTTGCATTAGACGCCTTCAGTTCTAGCACTTGGAGCAGGCTTAGGGACTCTAGTAACCGTACCCGTCAACAACATTATGTAGTAACAGGTTACAATAAACGGTCACATACGTAGTAAAATTATTACCCCAACAGATAAAAATACAAGGTAGTCAAATTAGCGGGAGTCCCACCCGGCAAAGAAAGTAAGGTGATGGATAAAAGAAAGAAATAGTATGAGGCATGTCAGTGCGAGAGGCATACAAGCGAGAAATAGTATGAATGTGTTACATAGANCGTAGTAAAATTATTACCCCAACAGATAAAAATACAAGGTAGTCAAATTAGCGGGAGTCCCACCCGGCAAAGAAAGTAAGGTGATGGATAAAAGAAAGAAATAGTATGAGGCATGTCAGTGCGAGAGGCATACAAGCGAGAAATAGTATGAATGTGTTACATAGAATAATAAGGTCCTGCCGAGCCTATGGGCGGGGAAGGCGTATAAAAAAAAAAAAAAAAACAAAAACAAAAAAAAAAAAAACCGTACTCGTTAAACTCAGCAAAGAGTTCGACGTGCAATCTAACCTAAACATCAGTCCGCTGAGTTTCTCGCCAGACTTCTCAACTGGTCGCGATTCCGATCCGATGTTAGACTCTGCGAAGCACGGCTCTTGCTAGGGTTTGTGTTAGCAACAACGTCAGGTTTGAGCCCTGTGAGCTCTCCTACTAGCCCGGCGACGCTGACATGCTCTATCTAGACCATCAGCTTGGGTAGGAAAAAAAACCGGTAGTAGATCCGTTCGCGAAGCAGCTGCTCTTGAGTTGTTGGGTCTCATTCGGAGGCGCTCGGGCAGCTGTTAGCAAATCCCACACCTCCTTTGCTTGCCCATCGGTCCTAATCAAACTGGAAAGGTTACTTCACCTTTTTTATGAGAGCCATACTTCCTTCTCATCATTGGCTATGTGATGTCCTATAATAGCACCCCAACTCTATTACCCATAGATTTCGTTAAGGATTCCCCGGAGAAAGAGCAGTAGCGTTCGCTAAGTATCAAACTAACATCCTACTATCTTCAATTGACGTTGCTAATAGGGCGTAATATAAGCCCTGATAGAGAGCACTGACTTGTCTATTCCTGTCTCCGATCAGCCATGCGTTAGGTCTTGAGGGGCGAGACAGCTGTTGTTCCATAAATCCATATTTTTTACTGGTGGTAGGACCTCTTATGAGTCCGCGCGGGTAGGTACCACCGCCCTGCCTATTTCTGTCGTGAAGCAGTAATGCGTTTCGGTTTGAAGGGTAGGGCAGCCGTTGTAACTATACTTGAGACCTTAAAACTTATATCTCAAGATGGGTGGCGCATTTACGTTGTAGATGTCTATGGGCTCCAGTAACCACTTAACACCAGGTGGGCTGTGAGTTCGTCCACATACCTAAGCAATAAAAAAAAATTAAGACTTCGATCACAAGGTTAATGGCGGCATCTCTTCTTGGCTTTACCGATACTTCATAATCAGTGCCCAACTGAAAACAATCGATAAGAAATCTTTGCCCAAACAGGTTTAAAAAAATTCTAATTAATAATTAATTAATTAATTAATTCATATGGGATCAAGTTATTAGCGAACTAAAAATTCAACGGCCGGTAAATGTCCGCCACCTCCTCTCACTATTCCCAGACCCCCGTATTATAAGTGCTTTTATTAAGTTTATAACTACTAACTCTATAAAGTTATAATTATATTATGTAGTGCATTATTCTCTGTACATAATCTTTATTTTATTATGTAAGTTTATAGTAACATTAATTTTGTGTTAGTCCCAGGCACGATTATTATGGCCAAAATTTGGATACTTTTCATAATATAAAATGTGTTTAAATAGCTCGACAATGTTCCATGTGTAGCCATAGCACGACACTGGCAGAAATTGCTGAAAGTATCGACAGATTACCATTAAAGAAAAAAATATATATATCTAATTCCACCACCTCGTTTACTTCAGCATCATGTTTGAAGAGCGTCTTTCGCGTACCAACGTGCGCACGGTAACGCGATGCCAGTCCAGCTGCCGAGCTCACTGCAGAAACGACGCGGACTGCCTCAAGAGGTGCGCGGACAGATGTCTCAGAGCCGACTGAGATGACGACGTCGTAAAGCATTATAAACGAAAAAAAAAAACGTTTTTTGTTATTTTATTTTTGAGCACCCTTTTTATAAGACTTAAAGGAACGTCATCGAAATTTTTAATTTTAATGACAGCAGCAACAATCGAACGGTGACATTTGATAGCTGACAACTGAACCTGTCAACTACACGGTAGTAGGTAGTAAGTAGTAGTTCTATTTTACCAACTGGAAAAGTAAAGGTATCTTACCATACAGTCTAATCTTTTATAATTTTTTTTAATAAAAAATGATGATATTAACTGAAATGAAATGAAGATGATTAATTTGAAACATTAATCAATTGGCATGAAATTAAATGAAATGAGATGAGATGATATGGCATGAAATATAATCTCAGTAAAACGGTGATTTACTGAGACTTTTTCAGTGGATTTTTTGGAGGATCCTTAAAAGCTACATCCAGTGGCTCTGTTTTATTCTCCCACATTTGTGCACTTTTACTGATACCTTTATTGCACATTTAAACCTGAAGAAACACTAAATAGACAAAGTAAAACAATTCACAGAACTTCGCTCCTCGTGCTCCCGCCAAGAAGTCTCTGACATTACTCCTACATGTATGAGTACAATGCAGGTCGAAAACTCGTTGACACAAGGGTTCAGTTGTGTCAACGTTTGTCAGTGTTCTTACCAACAGGGCGGAAGTGTACAAAGTCTAGGATAGTCTAAAAACTAGTATTAAAGTCATGAATTATCCTACAAGTCAATAGTCGACTGTTTTTAATTATTTACTTTATTTAAGATTGACATAAACGATGGGCATGACGATTGACTATAAATAAATATATTTACTTAGTACTGTAATTCAAATAAAATGATCCTAACAAGTTCATGACATTCATTCATTTTCCACCTGATGGTTGTCTGGAAGAGATCGCTCTTAGCGATAAGACCGCCAATTGTACTTTTTTCTTTGTATTTAATTTTTTTTATTGCTTAGATGGGTAGACGAGCTCACAGCCCACCTGGTGTTAAGTGGTTACTGGAGCCCATAGACATCTACAACGTAAATATGCCACCCACCTTGAGATATAAGTTCTAAGGTCTCAGTATTGTAGTTACAACGGCTGTCCCGCCCTTCAAACCGAAACGCATAACTGCTTCACGGCAGAAATAGGCCGGGTCGTGATACCTACCCGTGCGGACTCACAAGAGGTCCTACTATCAGTATAAATCAAAACAAAATGGAAAAAAAAAACAAAGACCAACACAATAATAAACGTTTAATAAACATCCATAACAATAATTTACACTCAATAAATAAGATTTTTAATCGCCTTCCGTCGACCCCCCATCACGTCCTGTAGTTACACTTGAGGCGTTTGCTCTGGTGGTCCCCCGGGAGGGTCCCCGCGCGCTGCCGCCCCGGCTTCATGCGGGGGGTCTCGATGTTGTGCTGCTTCAGCAGATGCCTCTTCCAATAGCAACGCCGCGTGTAACACGAATGACATATCTCGCATTCGTATCTGCCGACAGGGGATCGGTGAGAGGAACTTTTTTTGGCGGAAACGCGAGCAGTGAAGTTGTGTGATCACTACATAGTATAAAACAAAGTCGCTTTCTCTGTCCCTATATCCCTATGTATGCTCAAATCTTTAAAACTACGCAACGGATTCTGATGCGGTTTTTTTTAATAGATAGAGTGATTGAAGAGGAAGGTTTATATGTATATAATAACATCCATTAAATAGTGGAGAAATCAATAATAAATTACAGTTTCCGAAGCGAAGCGAGGGCGGGTCGCTAGTTAACAAATAAATAATAACAATAAATAAATATTTACTAACGATCACGCCACATTAACTGGTCCCGTGCTAAGTTCGTAAAAAACTTGGTTTACAGTTACCAGATAACGGAAATAAATGTAAGATTTTTATTATACATATACTTAAATTTCATATACATCCATAACTCCGGAAAAAACATTTTATAATTATCATACAAATATCTTCCCTTGGCGGGATTCGAACCCGCGACCCCGTTGTGTAATGACCATGTCACTTACCACTACACCAGACGGCCGTTAGTTTTATTTTGTCTATTTAGTGTTTCTTCAGGTTTAAATGTGTAATAACGGTGGTTTATTAACTGTTTAATATCTGTGAAAGTGCACAAATGTGGATAAATCAAACAAAGCCACTGGACGTAACTTGTGGGGATCCTACAAAAAGTCCACTGGAAAAGTCTCAGTAAATGACCACGATTTTACTGAGATTATATTTTATCCTATATCATCTCATTTCATTTAATTTCATCCCAGTTGATTAAGGTCTCAAAATAATCATCTTCATTTCATTTCATTCTATATTATCATTTTTCATAAATTATGAGTATAAATTAAAATAAGACATGACTTAAAGGTCTTAGTTACCAGGTCATAAAATCCCATTAAAAAAAAACATTCGAGTGCATGTGAGACGGCACTATTTGATTAGACCTGTGAGAGAAAGAGATAGAGAACTCTGTTGGCTCTCACCGCTTGACGCCGAAGTGCGTGTCGATGTGCCTCTGCAATTTGCTCCTATCGTTGAATCTCTTCTCGCAGTGGGTGCAGGGGAAGCGCCTCTCGCCCTGGTGCACGAGCCGCCGGTGGGCGTACAGACTCGAGCACGTGTAGTACGAGCACGTGCAGGAATCGCACTTGTACGTTTTGGTGTTGCCTGGAAATTGGGGAAAAAATTTTTTTTTTTACGGAAAATCAAAGAATTTGCCATATTCCTTCGATGTTTAGGGGATGTCCGTGGATATCAAGAATGTCGCTCGCTCGTTTTGAGACGTGAGGTTGAAATCTAAGTTTTAATTATAGAACGTCTGTCCCACATTTCTAATTGGCTCGCATGACCTGACTAAGCAATTGGTGGTACTTACCGGTGAAAGTTTATTACTTAGTAGCACAAGTAAAAACATTGCTAAAGTGAACAATATCGAGGGGTGAAAGATTATTTGGTTTAAGGGACACTTGAAGACTTTACAGGAGAAGCAAGTTTAAAATTTGCGAAAAAATATCATAACAAAAAAAAATACTTCTTCAGCTATTTGAATGGAGTAAACTTAATTGATAGTTCAATTAAAAATATATATATATATTTTTTTTTGTTTTTGCAGGCCGACGAGCATACCGCCCACCTGCTGGAAAATGGTCACCGTCGCTCATGACGTCAGCAATTCCAGGGGGAGAGCCAATCCGCTGCTTACCATTAAGTACTCTCCACAAGCCTCGTTTGAAGCAGGACATGTCATAGCGCTCGGGAAACACCGTGGAGGGGAGCTCATTCTATAGCCGGATGGTACGTGGCAAACTCATTCTATAGCGGGATGGTACGTGGCAAAAAATATCTCTGGAAACGCACTGTGGAAAATCGCAGTGGCTCCAGGTAGTATGGATGAAGTCTACCCCGGCGGCGGGCGGTGCGATGGTAAAAACGAGACGACGGGATCATCTCAAACAATTCCTCAGAGCAGCTTGTGTGACGCCATCCACTGTTTCACTGACCCAACTAATGCCGAATAAAATGGACCTTTAATTACAAAGACAAATGTCGCGTGTTAAGCGAAATGTCGCTTAAACCAAATAGACGTTCACTCTTCGAATTATCATTGACGATATTTTAAGCAAACGCGTATGATGAGTACCTGAGTGAATTCCACAATAACTTTTTGGCGCGATGTTGTGTGAATTGTTATATTTTGTGCATTCGGTGTTTCATAAGTGTACCTAATAGTGTGTGTGAAAGAAGTGAAACTTCTTTTTGTAATATTGTGGTTTTCTTCATTTTTCATAATTAAATCAAATTTCTCTTGTAATAAGGAATGCTATTAGAGAATATGTATTAAAGAAACGAACTAGCTCGGTTTGTCCATTCCCTCTCTCCGAGGTTGAAAGGTTCGCGAGACGCTCTGTCTATTTTCTCACTCTCGCTCGTCCTAAATCGTATCTCTTCTCTCTAGCCGTAACGAATCTGTCGCGAGTTAAATTTTACTCTCAACGCGCCAAAAGAAGTTTCACTTCTATAATAAAATACACGTACAAACATCATACCGCAGTGCCTCTGAACGTGTTTGACCAGGTCGCTCTTGTAAACGGTCCCGTAATCGCAATGGTCGCACTTGTAGTTCGGCGTCCTGTGCGTACGTAGGTGAGTGCTGTACGAAGCGCGCGGGAACAGCTTACCACATATCTGCCAGAATCACATTTATAAATATATATATGTATATATTTAGATGTCTATGGGCTCCAATAACCACTTAACACCAGGTGGGCTGTGAGCTCGTGCACCCATCTAAGAAAAATAATTAAAAAATAATGATAATAATAATAAACCTCAAGCCTCAAGGTGGGCAGTATCATTGACGTTCAGCAACAGCAGACGTTCCGTGAGGTCGTTGGCTTGTCTCAAATAAATAAGTGCATTTACCTCGCATATCAGTCCGTCTTTACTGGAATGTTTTTCTTTTCGATGCGCCACTAGAGATTTTTTGTTATCGAAATTCAAATCGCATATACCGCACGGGAATTCAATCGGCGGTTCAGGTTCTAAGGCTTCAGCCGGTTCTTCCACAACCTTCTTTTTCTTAATTACCTCCCGATTCCTCAGTATAGATTTATTTTTCTTTTTCCGTCTTACAGTTTTGCTGCAAAAGAGAATTCATTGATCATCGTGGCGAAAGGATAAGACGTGTCCGGTGCATTCGTATGTAGCGATGCACCGGTGTTCGAATCCCGCAGGCGGGTACCGATTTTTCTAATTAAATACGTACTCAACAAATGTTTACGAATGACTTCCACGGTGAGGGGATAACATCGTGTAATAAAAATCGAACCCGTCAAATTATAATTTGCGTAATTACTGGTGGTAGGACTTCTTGTGAGTCCGCGCGGGTAGGTACCACCACCCTGCCTATTTCTGCCGTGAAGCAGTAATGCGTTTCGGTTTGAAGGGTGGGGCAGCCGTTGTAGCTATACTGAGACTTTAGAAATTGTATCTCAAGGTGGGTGGCGGCCTTTACGTTGTAGATGTCTATGGGCTCTAGTAACCACTTAACACCATAACTATAAGCTCATATAATCAATAAAAAAAACAAAAAATATAGCACACACTGGAATCGGCTTAGTGGAATTCAATATTACAGCCATAGCAATCAGTTTTAAAAAGTACTATAGTCATTTTAAGCTAAGCTAACCATTTAAATGCTTTCAAATTAATCTTCTTAAAGTCATTCTGAGCATCCATGCATTCCGTCTTAACAATGGTTACGTCAACCTCACAATCCTTGCTCGATTTACTCTTTGTTTCATTGTTGTTGGTGAAGAAATCATTGTTGTCATCTTCATAGTCGATTTCACTGGTGCAGTTGTGTTCCTCTTTGACCGCCGTACAGAGTTTCCTTAAGATTTTGTCGCTGAATATACATTTCGTTTTGAAATCAAAAGCAACTGTCAGGTTCTTACTGCACATTCCGCATATGTGTGCCGGAAGACCGTCTTCAGGTTTTAACTGTAAGTTGAAAGAAGGAAGTTTGTAGTCTTTCAATGACGTTAATGAAGAAACAATTTTATTATTTTATTTAGTGAATTATAAAGCATTAAGCATATTTGTTAGGTGCCGAGAAGCAGTACTGCGTTTCGGTTTGAAGGGTGGGGCAGCCATTATAACTATACTGAGACCTTAAAACTCATATCTCAGGGTGGGTGGCGGCATTTACACTGTAGATGTCGATGGGCTCCAGTAACTACTTAACACCAGGTGGGCTGTGAGCTCGTCCACCTTCCTAAGCAATAAAAAAAAAGGTAACATGTCAGTTCTCTGTGTATTTGTTTTTATACTATCCGCACTTAGTAATACTTTTTATGATAAGGAGAATAAATAACTTCATGCTACAAATTTACAGATTTTTTTCGTATTAGAATTTTATCACAGTAGTTTCAAAACTGTAGACGCAAGTATATATTCTTGCAAGATCTGGGATCCCACAACATTCGACTACCCTTGCTATTCTCTCTAATTGCCCATTTTCATTCATGTAAATGCATAAAAACACTTTTGCTGACATAACACAGTTATAATTTTTTTTTATTGTTAGAATGTTACCGGCACCCGTAGACTCATTCATGCCCAGTACCACCCATATACAGACATGAGTTCTGACTCTCAGCATCTTACTGCTTCACAGACTTCCAGAATAGGCATGGATAGTTCAACCAATTGTTTAAAATATTTACAAATATACAGATCACAATGAAATCAAGATCAAAAACACGTATTTATACTCAGATCTTGCATGCTTGTCACATTTAATTAGTGGAAAACAATGTCCAAATCAGTAGTGTAATTTAGGAGAAGCAATGAAACGGACAGCAGAAGATAACTTTTATTATTTATATTCAAACATCACCATATGTGCCTTATTTCTGCCGCCAAGTCATACATGCCAGTTTGAAGGGTGAGGTAGCCATTTGAAAATTAAAACTTTGCCTTAGGTCACAAAGTTGATAGTAACATTCACATTACTGTCTGAGAGCTGTAGAAACTATCTAACACCAACAACTACCAGAAGCATCCTTCCAACTACCAATTGAATGCATTAGAAAAAACTAAATATTCGTAATCAGGTTTCTTTCTGTGTGCTGTAAGAATTTTAATTATATTGTAAATAAATAAAAATTTTATTAATAAAAAAATTAGATTTTTTTATTAATAAAATGTCATTATTTAATACTTCAGACCCAAGTAACCACTTGCCACCCCACTTCAGTTTTTAACACTTTGGAGGCTGTGTCGAATATGATTATCTTTTAGTATATTTAGTGTAGTTTTTATATAGTTTAAATTTAGATATTTTTTTCATATTTATTTAGGTTTGGTTATGAACACCTTGTCCTTCCATAAAAAAAAAGTCATTATTTGTAAACACACAGAGGCATACCAAAATACCAGTGCAGAATTCGATTTTTTCAAGTATCTCCGGATGTTTCTCGTTAAATATGTTGCTCATTTCGTAACTAGAGGTAATGCAGATCCTACAAGACTTCTCTATTGATAGTAATTGTATTTTATTAGGCAAATTTTCGTCATATTCCTCTATCATTTTGTACTAAAGTTTAATAAACTGTCAATCTTATTAGGTTATGTTTCAGTAGGTAATCATTTCATAGATTATAGTAAGTAGCTCTTAACATTATCTTGTTATAAAAAATATTTGTTTAAGTTTTCAGAATTAACTTAAACATTTAATTAGAGTTCTCATCAATTTGAAATTAATTCTATTTCAGTTTATTCCACATTACTTTCGACATATAAAATACTCTGTGTGCCACAGTAGTTACTAACTAATCTGTGCATTATACCATCTGATCTGCAGGTGAATGAAGTTAGCCCCTCAAAAAATTTTTTTTTTCCTATTTTATACTTATTTTCTATTAATTCGTTTGTTCATCATTTGTTCATGATTGTTCACTGTTAATAATTGTTTGTTCTGCAGTTATTTATTTAAAAAAAATATTTAAAAATATACCTACAAGTTAGCCCCTCTAATGCAATTTTTAATATTTTTTCATCCTTAATGACTCGTAAATATTCATTTTCGNATGATCCGCGACAGATTTTTCCTGTAAGTAGTGAGACAATTTGAAAAAACATCTATTTCACTTAAAATAAGTTCAGCGCAATCGGACAACTCCGAAGGAACATTGACGGAGACCGCGCTACCGTGGACATTATTGTAGTCCCAAAGGATTCTGTTTAAGGGAGAGTAAGCACCTAAATTCGAACGAGCGGGCTTTCTTATAAACAGTTTATATTTCTTCGTTCTTGGTAGGTACTTAGGGGCTGATATTTTTATCTGGGCTAATAGATTAGGTGTGTCGGTTATTCCATGAATTAGTTTGTACAGAAATATACCCCCCATTAGTTTTTTTATTTTATTTTATCTTTTAGTATATTTAGTGTAGTTTTTATATAGTTTAAATTTAGATATTTTTTTCATATTTATTTAGATTTGGTTATGAACACCTTGTCCTTCCATAAAAAAAAGTCATTATTTGTAAACACACAGAGGCATACCAAAATACCAGTGCAGAATTCGATTTTTTCAAGTATCTCCGGATGTTTCTCGTTAAATATGTTGCTCATTTCGTAACTAGAGGTAATGCAGATCCTACAAGACTTCTCTATTGATAGTAATTGTATTTTATTAAGCAAATTTTCGTCATATTCCTCTATCATTTTGTACTAAGCTGTCAATCTTATTAGGTTATGTTTCAGTAGGTAATCATTCCATAGATTATAGTAAGTAGCTCTTAACATTATCTTGTTATAAAAAATATTTGTTTAATTTTTTAGAATTAACTTAAACATTTAATTAAAGTTCTCATCAATTTGAAATTAATTCTATTCCAGTTTATTCCACATTACTTTCGACATATAAAATACTCTGTGTGCCACAGTAGTTACTAACTAATCTGTGCATTATACCATCTGCTGATCTGCTTCCATACAAGTTAAAACGTTCGGAAATACTATATTTATCATTACTAACATCTCTCTCTTATTTATACTACATAATTACTAATATTTTTATTTTGAATACTTTATCAAATAAAGTACTGTTTATGCTACCGCAGACTATTTTATATAAGATGCCACGAGATATTTAATTGCAGAGCAATGTTCCCATTAACTATAATGACTTTCAGCTTTTTATTTATTTATTTTTATTGCATCGATGAGTGGACGAGCTCACAGCCCACCTGGTGTTAAGTGGTTACTGGAGCCCATAAACATCTACAACGTAAATGCGCCACCCACCTTGAGATATAAGTTCTAAGGTCTCAAGTATAGCTACAACGGCTGCCCGACCCTTCAAACCGAAACGCATTACTGCTTCACCTACCACCCTCCTAGGTCCTACCACAGTGTTGTTCCTGAAAGTCTTTTGTGTTGTGTGTGTCTTCTGTGTTTGTTCTAATTTAACATACTATTTAAGCTATCAACATTTAGCTCTCATACTTCTGTAGTTCAGGTCTTACACAATTTATAGACAAAGGAACGAAATTCTATGAATGTAAAAAAGAATATCGCGACATCGATACTAATCAACTAAAAATTCAAAGTTGCTAAAAAGTATACATTTTTTCAAAAGTCAAGACTGAGTACCTACTTTTCTTTTTATTATGAAGATTTTTTTTCCACCTTTTTGTTTGTTTCTGATAATATAAAGGTGTAAAAATAAGTTTCCGCCGTTTTGAGAAAGATGGTGTGGCACGAGGCTTACGTTCGAATTCATAGATGATAATCGGCTTGAAAATTAAGTTGATCATTTAAGAACAACTTAACCCTATCATATTATTAACTTCGTATTAGCATCATATTCTTTTTTATCCAAAAATGTTAAAATTTGAACCAAATAAGCGTCATTTGCGGGAACTTTTAATTTACTTTTTTAATTTCAAAAAATCTGCAGCCGAGGCGCATCGATTGCTCATAAAAGCATATAATGAGGCTGCCTTGAGTGAGAGAACATGTCGTGAGTGGTTTAAAAAGTTTAAAAACGGTGATTTTGACGTAGAAGACAAAGATCGCAGTGGAAGGCCAAAATTTATGAGGATGCAGAATTGACGGAATTATTGGAGGAAGATTCGTCTCAAACACAAAAAGAATTTGCACTTACTTTAGAAGTCACTCAGCAAGCAGTCTCACAGCGCTTAAAATCGTTAGGAATTATTCATAAACAAGGTAATAGGGTTCCATACGAATTAAAGCCGAGAGATGTTGAACGCCGATTATGCATGAGTGAAATGCTGCTAGCTAGGCACCAAAAAAAAAGTTTTTTACATCGAATCGTCACTGGTGATGAAAAGTGGATATATTATGATAATCCGAAAAGAAGAAAATTATGGGGACTACCTGGCCACGCGTCAACATCCACAGCAAAACCGAATATTCATGAAAAAAAACTCATGCTGTCTATTTGGTGTGAGCAGCTGGGTGTGGTGTATTACGTATTACTGGAGCTCTCTACCGAACGCAATTGATAAGATTGAGTCGAGCTCTCAAGGAAAAACGCCCTCAATAACTACTCCAGACATGACAAAATTATTCTGCTCCATGATAATACTCGTCCGCACGTAGCGGTACCGGTAAAAAATTATTTAAAAACACTTAATTGGGAAGTACTACCTCACCCGCCGTATTCACCAGACATTGCCCCGTCTGACTATCATCTGTTCCGGTCAATGGCACATGCTCTGTCGGAGCAGCGGTTTACATCATATGAAGATACCAAAAATTGGTTTGATTCGTGGATAGCCTCAAAAGACGAGGAGTTCTTCAGACGTGGAATCTGAACTCTGCCTGAGAGATGGGAAAAAGTAGCTGCTAGTGATGGACAATACTTCGATTAAATTTAAATTACCGTTCTTGGAAGTAATTCTCATTAAGAGCTCTGTGTAGGTGATGATTAAGATCGGTGATGCTATACATCCTTGTCGAATACCGTAACTGAGGCGATAATGTCTTAAATGATACGATAAGTATATACGAGGACGACGACGAGGCGATAAGTTCTCCAGTACCTTTTGCGCTTACAAAGCAGGCCTGTTCGGGTGTAATTTCCTTTAAAAGAAATAACTGCCGAACAATTCATGACGTGCCGCAAAATTTTACTTGCGTGCGAAATCAGTGCCATAAAGTGGTGTTTAATGGTTTTTATATCCTAGTGGCCTCTTTTTATTCATCCCAACGCGGTAGACAATATGCACCCTTGCCGGATTGCCATACTTTATTACATTACTTAACACGAAACATTTGAACATTTAAAAAATGAATTTGAAGCTTAACAAAGCAATCTTGGTTCCACCTCAAATTTTGGGTTAACCAAACTTATGCATTCGATTCTTGTAATTAATAGCAAGGTAGGTTAATTCCATTAAGATTTTAACTATTAATTGCATCTAGAAATTTTTTTCAAGAGTAATTTTAGAAATTAAATATTGCGAGTAATTTATGTCTTGAAATATATTTTGTAAAATGAAGAATTTGAAAAAGTAAGGAAGGGACCAGTTTCTGAACGAAACTTGCTCATTGGTATTACCAGCCCTTAGAACATTATTGTTATGAAAGAAAAAAAGTTTTTAGGTTTTTTTTAAATTAAGTTACAACAGTATAGTAGCCAAGTGTAACTTTTTCTGCACTAAAGCATTTTTAATCGTATTTGATTTAAAAGTTAAAATATCGATTTTCATCCATATATAGTTAATTTGGTCCATGTATTGATTAAGTTTGAATGCTCAGTTCTTATTAAATTAGTTTTGATATTCATCAGATTAAAATATTAAACAAAATAAGGTAGTTTGAAGATAGATTTCTTCAAGAATTTAGCTTTGAAGATGACTTTATAATTCCTATAAACTACAAATGAAATTCAAAAATAGTTCTATTTCATTTTTTTAAGCTGCAACACTAACAGACGAAAATCAGAACGTCATAAAAAGAAATTGACAGAACAAGGAGATTTTTCTGTCACACACTGTTTCCTATCATTCGGATTAATAACGCGTTCGTCGGGTCACGACGATTATAATTTATTATCATTTCACAATTATCAATAAGCTATCGATTACAGACATCAGCCGTCCCGCCGCTTTGCAATCAGTGAGTATTAGTAAATGTATTTATTAATAGAATTTAAAAGTATTTGATAATGTTATCTGTTTATTACTGATTTTACAAGAAGTGATTGGATAAGCCGGTTGTTACATGTTAAGCGTTTGCCGAGTAATGTCGAGTCTAGTGAGNTATCATTTCACAATTATCAATAAGCTATCGATTACAGACATCAGCCGTCCCGCCGCTTTGCAATCAGTGAGTATTAGTAAATGTATTTATTAATAGAATTTAAAAGTATTTGATAATGTTATCTGTTTATTACTGATTTTACAAGAAGTGATTGGATAAGCCGGTTGTTACATGTTAAGCGTTTGCCGAGTAATGTCGAGTCTAGTGAGCGATTGCGAAGCGTTTTAAACGGGTGAAAGTCGCTTTCGCTCGTCAATTCGACGCTATATCAGCACTCATTTAATGATTAGCATATTATATAGCAATGATTGCCGGATTGTTTTTTTTTTTTTTTTTTTTTTATTGCCCTTGTAGGCAGACGAGCATACGGCCCACCTGATGGTGAGTGGTTACCGTCGCCCATGGACTTCAGCAATGCCAGGGGCAGAGCCAAGCCGCTGCCTACCGCTTAATATTATATTTGTTTGTTTGTTTGATTGTTTTTGGATTGTTTCAAAGCTACGATTCTTAACCTTTATAGGGACAGCTTATTACATTTTATTTTACGCAATGTTGCGTAGTGTTCGTGTCGGAAAAATATTATACTTAGGGACAATTAATTATTTTAATTTTTTATGGTACGACGGAAACATGATTTGCATATACAAATCGATCGTTTATAGGCTGTGATTTTCTAATTGTATTTCTAATTTATTCGGTGTTGTTAATAAAATTGAAGTGCTTGTTTTCGAAACACAGTTCAACCGAAATATATAATAATATATATATTTTAATCCCGTCCGGGCGTAGCTGGAATAGACCAGCGAACAGGTAGAGAAAAAAAAATGTTTAATGATTTTGAAATTTGAATAAACCCCTGAACTAATTCTGATTAGGTGTGATTGGGTGGTTTTGCTAGAATTAAACTCAATATTTTGTATTGAAAATTTTGCCAATTACTTAAGTGAAAAATTTACGTGATTTGAGTAGTCGTTAATGTAAAGATGGTTAAGGTTAAAAGACTACGATGGCCCGTTCGAAAGGGAATATTTGAGAGAAAAGTAGGAATTTGAAGATGATAAGCCTCAATGGGAAAAGACGACATGTTGCCCCAATCCCACATAGTGGGATAAAGGCAAGAAAAAGAAGACATTACGAGATCTGTAGAATATCATGTTTTGAGGTCCAGTAAAAAAAGTATCAATTAAAGCTCATAACTATAAAATCCATATAGAAATCTCAATCTGACATGCATTGTATATAAATAAATATTTTTCATGCTACTTTTGTAATTTAGACATACTTAAATATGTTGTTTTTCTGGAGATAAAAATAGGCTTGCTTGTCCACTTATAGATCTAGTACATAACATCATGAAGTTAACTATTGCAGGATAAAATAATGCCCATCTGTATGAATAAACTTTCACATTTAAAAAAGTATAGTAGAAGTAAACTTGGCAAGAGTATGTATCTCCAACCAACCTATATCCCCTGTGAAGCTGTAATGTCTTTGGTTTGAAGGGTGGGGTAGCCATTGTACTATAAAACTGAGACTTAGAACTCATGTCATGTTATGGGTGGTGGCATTTAAACAGTTGTCTTCTAAGACCACAGAGAACCGCTATAGTATATCTATTTA